GCCTCAGAAAAGTTACTGGCTAGACAAGCAGTGTTAAAAATTTAGTTTATAGGGCTTCCCTGGTGGCGCAGTGGTTGAGAGTCAGCCTGCCGATGCATGGGACACGGGTTCGTGCCCCGGTCCGGGAGGATCCCACATGCCGCGGAGCGGCTGCGCCCGTGAGCCATGGCCGCTGAGCCTGCGCGTCCGGAGCCTGTGCTCTGCAACGGGAGAGGCTGCAACAGTGAGAGGCCCGCGTACCGCAAAAAAAAAAAAACAACGGTGCCAGAAGCTAGAAATGCCATTCACATCCATCGACTCGATTTGGTGTGTCGAAAGGAGATGGAGCACGTTTATCAGTGACGTCTGGATTTCTGCACCAGTGCGGGAAAGCAAAAGACTTAAGTCTTTTCTTCAGAACATGGCTCAGTTGCACACAAGATTAGCAGCTCACTTGTTCGGAGATGACTTCTTGTGCTGTCTTTTTTGCACTTGGTCAGTTTGGGTTTGAACTGGCCTTTACTTCCCAGAAATGTGTGCCGTGTGCCCTTCACAGCAGTGCCAGGTTGGATGCTCAGATGAGCTGAGATCTTGCCTGGTGTCCGGCCACCCCAGGGGGAGAGAGAGGTGTGCTCACGGGCAGGTGCAGTTCTTGGCACCTGCTGGAGCGTGAGCCCCTCTGCAGACTAATGTGTAATTCTTACTCTACACCTCTTCCCATTTCCCTAAAAATTGGTTGAATTTCCATATGTATCCTTCAAGGACTTCCTCATACTTCTGGAGCAGAGCTGAGTTTGACTAGGTTTGATGATACGTTATAATTAGTGATGTTTATTGGCTGTCTTGGTCATAGAAGTAAACAAAGCAAAAATCTCTTTTGTAAGAGTAGTTACTGTAAAAGTGTCATAACAGAATTAATTTTGATTTTAAAATTAAGTCATTCTTTAAGCTGATTTTTATCAGGGCAAAAGAATGCCCGTGTTTAGTATTAAAAGATCATTTACATATGACCTTGTGCGAGAGGTTGGAAATGAAATATTCAACCCTGACTCTCTCTTCAGCCTAATGCATGGTGCAAGTTTTTGTCAGTGGTCTCTCAAATATTACTCATGATTATGCATTTATATAACCTTTTTTTCATCCAAGATTGAAGCTAAATTACAGCATCTTACTGAAGACTACAATCTATGAGCATGAATTAGACCCTGTACTACCCAGCCATCTGCCTTCTCTTTTCTCATTCTTTCAATTTTTTTAATTTTTTAATTTTTTTAATACTTTTATTTGTTTTTTTTATTTTTGGCCGCGTTGGGTCTTCGTTGCTATGTGGGGGCTACATTTTGTTGTGGTGTGTGGGCTTCTCATTGTGGTGGCTTCTCTTATTGCAGACCACGGGCTCTAGGCGCACGGGCTTCAGTAGTTGTGGCGCACGGGCCCAGTTGCTCCGCAGCATGTGGGATCTTCCCGGACCAGGGCTCGAACCCGTGTCCCCTGCATTGGCAGGCGGATTCTTAACCACTGCGCCACCAGGGAAGCCCCTCATTCTTTCTTTTTAAACCAAACCCAATCAACTGGGAACCCAAGCAAACACTGGAAATGCAAGGTGCCCTTTAGTCCCTAGGATTCAAGGTTCACTTGCCTTTCATTCAAAACATAACTCCGGGACCTGTCACTTTGGTTGGTCTCTGTTAGAGATTCCTTGACTTGGACGCTTCAGACACCTTCAGCCTTTGAGACACCAAAGGCTGAGGCTCACCTGAACATCCAGTGACTTGCTTACAGCATCAGTTCCGGGGGACTACAAGAGTCGGTTTTCTTGATGCTTTGATGTATACTAATATCCCACCTTTATGATTTCTGATTATGTCATTGGCCATATGCACGAGTCAGTAGTCCCAGGGGATGTGGTATCTAGTTAAATAGAAAAACACTAGGAAACAATATGTCCGTGAGCAAAAAATTGTAGCGTCTTGGCATTTTATTTAAAAAACTGCAGTCCAATGTAAATCTCGACTTAATTAAATTTGACCAGTAACTTAGCACATTCAGTAAATCAAGAGTAATTTAAACTTGCTTAGATAATAAAGAGAGGTGAATTTTGCTTTGGGGGAAGGAGGGTAAAATAAAAGATAATAAAAGTCAAGTTTACTGGTAAAGAGATAATCCTTGCCCCATTCTGTGTAACAGGCATACGTATCTCCTTAGGATGCTTTATTCTGTTCATTTCTTCTATTCTCAAAGGGTGGCACCACCATCCATTTGGTTTCCCAAGCCAAAAAGCAGAGCATTGTTTTTGGTTTCTATCCCTCTCTCCGTCCCAAGCTCCAAGTACTGTTGATTTGACAGGTGAGAACCTTTCACCCATCATTGCTGTTGAGAAGAACAGACCGTTCAGTGACCCAGGCCTTTGTGTGGGCTCTGCACTAGACACTTAGGGTCTCTGCTTTAACCCAGGACTCTGAATTCCACAGTAATACGTCTTGATACAGACCTTTTTTCCATTCATTCTACTAGAGACCGTCAAATCTGGTTTTACCTATCTTTTAGTTCTGGAAATTTTCTTGTATTGTTTCTTTTTTTTTTTTGCGGTACGCGGGCCTCTCACTGTTGTGGCCTCTCCCGTTGCGGAGCACAGGCTCCAGACGCGCAGTCTCAGCGGCCATGGCTCACGGGCCCAGCCGCTCCGCGGCATGTGGGATCCTCCCAGACCGGGGCACGAACCCACGTCCCCTGCATCGGCAGGCGGACTCTCAACCACTGTGCAACCAGGGAAGCCCA